CTTCCATACATTCCTTTAATATTCTGGCAAATATCTCATCGGGACCTGGTGACTTATTAGCTTTAGTTTGTCTATTTGCTTACTAACATCGTTACTAGTCTCTATATATCGCCTTAATTTGTTTTCTTCACTATCTCTGTATAGTAGAGTCGGTGCCTCGGGTATCATGTTTAAATTTTCGGTGGTGAAAACTGTTGAAAAATATTCTTCCTATTATTGGTCGTTTCTCCGTCGTTATCAGTTAGCTCGCCGGTGTCTGACTGTGTTGGTCCAATCTCAACTATCCACCCAACCTTTGTTTGAGGCTGTACAGCGTGTTAGAGTTAATGATGATAGATACATAGAAGAAGAGATAGATAGATAGATAGACAGATACCAGTGAAGGAAATTCAAGCAGTGAGACTTATATCTGTGAGAGTGTAAACTGGTACAACGAGAATTCAACACACACACACACATGTACACACATGCACACACATTTACACAGATACACACATCACTAATGCACCCTAATGGGGTGTGGGCGTGTGGGTAGGTGACGTAATAATAATAATAATAATTAACGGTTTATTAAAAGAGCATGGCAGCCGGAAGGCTGAAAATATACAGTTACATAATTGGGGAATGGGTCTCTTGATTTACAAATAAAATACAAATAACATAAGTGATACAAATATGATATATAATAACTACTGTAGGTGGGGAGAAGCTCAAACTACAGGGCATTTCAATATAGTGCAAAAAGGTGTGTGTGTGTGTGTGTGTGTGTGTGTGTGTGTGTGTGTGTGTGTGTGTGTGTGTGTGTTTTGAAAGTTCTGCAGCCCGAAGGCTGAAAATATACATTGGACATAAATAACTTATTACACACATTGGTGGTTTAACAAAAGCCTTTATTAGAGAAAGGTAAAGGAACATACAGGGAACATACAGATTAATGACAGTGGAGGTCAGTAGATCATGTGAGCTGAAGTGTTGAACAACAGACACGTAGTGTAGTAACTCTCACAGATGGTGTTATGAGGGGCCTGACGTGGTGTGGTAATTTCACAGATGGTGTTATGAGGGCCTGACGTGGTAGTAATTCCCTCACAGATGGTGTTATGAGGGGCCTGACGTGGTGTAGTAATTTCAGATGGTGTATGAGGGGCCTGACGTGGTAGTAATTCCCCACAGATGGTGTTATGAGGGCCTGACGTGGTGTAGTAATTCCCTCACAGATGGTGTTATGAGGGGCCTGACGTGGTGTAGTAATTCCTCACAGAGGTGTATGAGGGGCCTGACGTGGTGTAGTAATTCTCACAGATGGTGTTATGAGGACCTGACGGTGTGTATTCCTCACAGATGGTGTTATGAGGGGCCTGGAGGGTGTAGTAATTCCCTCACAGATGGTGTTAGGAGGGACCTGATGTGGTGTAGTAATTCCCTCACAGATGGTGTTATGAGGGGCCTCACGTGTAGTAATTCCCTCACAGATGGTGTTATGAGGGGCCTCACGTGGTGTAGTAGTTCCCTCATAGATGGTGTTACGAGGGGCCTCACGTGGTGTAGCAACTCCCCCACAGATGGTGCTATGAGGGGCATTACGTGGTGTACGAATTCCCTCACAGATGGTGTTATGAGGGGCCTGACGTGGTGTAGTAATTCCCTCACAGATGGTGTTATGAGGGGCCTGACGTGGTGTAGTAATTCCCTCACAGATGGTGTTATGAGGGGCCTGACGTGGTGTAGTAATTCCCTCAAAGATGGTGTTATGAGGGGCCTGACGTGGTGTAGTAATTCCCTCACAGATGGTGTTATGAGGGGCCTGACGTGGTGCAGTAATTCCCTCACAGATGGTGTTATGAGGGACCTTACGTGGTGTAATAATTCCCTCACAGATAGTGTTATGAGGGACCTCACGTGGTGTAGTAACTCCCTCAAAGATGGTGTTATGAGGGGCCTGACGTGGTGTAGTAATTCCCCACAGATGGTGTTATGAGGGGCCTGACGTGGTGTTGTAATTCCTCACAGATGGTGTTATGAGGGCCTGACGTAGTAGTAATTTCTCACAGATGGTGTTATGAGGGCCTGACGGTGTAGTAATTCCCCCACAGATGGTGTTGCGAGGGCTGACGTGGTGTAGTAATTCTCACAGATGGTGTTATGAGGGGCCCGACGTGGTGTAGTAATTTCACAGATGGTGTTATGAGGGCTTGGGACGTGGTGTAGCACCTCGCCAGATGGTGTTATGAGGGGCCTGACGTGGTGTAGTAATTCCCTCACAGATGGTGCTATGAGGGACCTCACGTGGTGTAGTAATTCCCTCACAGATGGTGTTATGAGGGGCCTGACGTGGTGTAGTAATTCCCTCACAGATGGTGTTATGAGGGACCTCACGTGGTGTAGTAATTTCCTCACAGATGGTGTTATGAGGGCATCACGTGGTGTTGTAATTCCCTCACAGATGGTGTTATGACGGGCATCACGTGGTGTAATTCCCTCACAGATGGTGTTATGAGGGGCATCACGTGGTGTAGTAATTCCCTCACAGATGGTGTTATGAGGAACCTCACATGATGCTGTAGCAACTCATTCACTTCGTGGTGTCGTAGCATCATGGGGACACCACGTATTACAGAATGGATATAGAATCCTTGGAAAGAATTCAGAGGAGAATGACAAGACTAATCCCGGGCATTAGGAACCTTGAGTATAGAGACAGGTTAAAGCATCTTAATTTGCACTCCCTTGAGAGACGTAGAGCGAGGGGCGACCTGATAGAGGTGTATAAATGGAAGGCAGGGCTAAACAAAGGGGACATTACAAAGGTACTCAAACTATCCAACCAGGAGCGAATTCGTAACAATTTTTTTAAATTAGACAAATTTAGATTTAGGCCTGAAATAGGTAAACACTGGTTTGGAAACAGAGTAGTGGATGAATGGAACAAGTTACCAAATATCATCATTAACTCGAATACGCTGAATTGCTTCAAACATAGGTTGGATGCTCATATGAGCAATAGGGGTTGGGTGTAAACGGGACTGCCCAGTATGGGCCAATAGGCCCGCTGCAGTTTCCTCCATTCTTATGTTCTTATGTGTCACAGGACCTCACTCACTTGTGTCCCAGGCCTTCCTATGGTGGACGGATTAACACATAGCTGGTGTTCTTGAGTCTCAGGGGCAGTTATCACTGGGTACCTGGGACCTCACTGTGTGAAGGTTAGCTTGGGTACGACTCGGCTGTTACTGTTGAGTTGTTCTCACTGACTTAAGCACTGTTCACCACTGTTCACCACTATTCAACACTAGTTCCATTCCTTTCCTAAATGAAACAGTAACTTCTTGCGAGAACTTGTTGATATTCTGGTGGGGAGGAGGGGTTCAGGGGAGGGAGTTGGTATGGGCCAACATAACAGTTGACCTGGCTGCTCCCAGAGGAGCGCCAGGTACCTCTTGACCCTTCGGTGGTCAAGGATGTGTGTGTGTATGGGGGGGACCGGTAATAGAAGCGATAACCGTTCTTGCCTCGCAAGCGAGATGTCACGGGTTCGATTCCCGGGCCGGTGGAAGTTATACTTCCTAGCCCCCATTGGTCCCTGTTCACCTAGCAGTAAAGTAGGTACCTGGTGTAAGTCGAAAGTTGCGAATTCGTATTCAGGGAGTTGTTGGAGCTTCCAATAACTTGATGACATAAACCACTGACTCTTCAGGCTTCTACGCCCTTGACTCTTCAGGCTTCTACGCCCTTGACTCTTCAGGCTTCTACGCCCTTGACGCTTCAGGCTTCTACGCCCCTGACTCTTCAGGCTTCTACGCCCTTAACTCATGAGACATAAAGGCAAGCATGAACTTAGCATGCTTCCCTGTTGGGCACTGTAAACGCTTCTGCGCTTCACCTTACACAAGGATGTAGGGGAGTGCCCTTAATAAAAAAAAAATGGTGTGTGTGTGTGTGTGTGTGTGTGTGTGTGTGTGTGTGTGTGTGTGTGTGTGTGTGTGTGTGTGTGTGTGTGTGTGTGTGTGTGTGTGTGTGTGTGTGTGTGTGTGTGTGTGTGTGTGTGTGTGTGTGTGTGTGTGTGTGTGTGTGTGTGTGTGTGGTGTGTGTGTTAAGAAACGAACTGCAGAAACTTGTCTAAGTAGTGGGATCCTCATGTTAAGACAGGTGTGGTACATGACAGGTGTGTTAGGTGATGACTGGTGTGTTAGGTGATGACAGGTGTGTTAGGGGTGATGACAGGTGTGTTAGGTGATGACAGGTGTGTTAGGTGATGACTGGTGTGTTAGGTGATGACAGGGGTGTTAGGTGATTAAGTAGGTGTGGTACATGACAGGTGTGTTAGGTGATGACTGGTGTGTTAGGGGTGATGACAGGTGTTAGGTGATGACAGGTGTGTTAGGTGATGACAGGTGTGTTAGATGATGACAGGTGTGTTAGGTGATGACAGGTGTGTTAGGTGATGACTGGGTGTTAGGTGATGACAGGTGTGTAGTGATGACAGGGTGTGTTAGGTGATGATAGGTGTTAGGTGATGACAGGTGTGTTAGGTGATGACTGGTGTGTTAGGGTGATGACAGGTGTGGTAGATGATGACAGGTGTTAGATGATGACAGGTATGTTAGGGTGATGACAGGTGTGTAGTAAGTAGGTGATGACAGGTGTGTTAGGGTGATGACAGGTGTGACAGGTATAAGTTAGGGTGGTGATGATTGGTGTGTTAGGGTGATGACAGGTGTGGTAGATGATGACAGGTGTGTTAGATGATGACAGGTGTGTTAGGTGATGACAGGTGGGTAGGTGATGACTTGGTGTGTTAGGTGATGGCAGTACAAAAAGGTGTGGAGAGAGAGAGAGAGAGAGAGAGAGAGAGAGAGAGAGAGAGAGAGAGAGAGAGAGAGAGAGAGAGAGAGAGGTAACCAGTGCCAAACCTTGCTGGGGAGAGAAGGGGTGGTGGGGGGGGTGTGTTCTGAAAAGGCGAGGTTGGTTTTGAGCGTGTGAGTCCTTCCTTGAAGTCACACACACACACACACAGTCACTCTCTTCTTGTTACAGCGTCTTCCACTCTCCAATAAACAGTCCAGGTAACGTGTGTGTGTGTGTGTGTGTGTGTGTGTGTGTGTGTGTGTGTGTGTGTGTGTGTGTGTGTGTGTGTGTGTGTGTGTGTGTGTGTGTGTGTGTGGTACCGTGAGTTAGTGTTGTATCCCAGCACAGTACCGTGGTTAGTGATATCCCAGCACAGTACCGTGGGTTAGTGTTATATCCCAGCACTAGTACCGTGGGTTAGTGTTATATCCTAGCACTAGTACCGTGGTTTAGTGTTGTATTCCAGCACTAGTACCGTGGGTTAGTGTTGTATCCCAGCACTAGTACCGTGGGTTAGTGTTATATCCTAGCACTAGTACCGTGGTTTAGTGTTGTATCCCAGCACTAGTACCGTGGGTTAGTGTTATATCCCAGCATTAGTACCGTGGGTTAGTGTTATATCCCAGCACTAGTACCGTGGGTTAGTGTTATATCCTAGCACTAGTACCGTGGTTTAGTGTTGTATCCCAGCATTAGTACCGTGGGTTAGTGTTATATCCCAGCACTAGTACATAAACATAAGAACATAAGAAAATAAGGAGTCTGCAATAGGCCGGTTGGCCTGTGCCTGGCAGCTCCTGTCGAGAGTTACTACCACTCTCTATCATCCATGAATCTATCTAGCCTCCTTTTGAAACTTTCCAGAGTTCCCGCACTTACTACAAAGTTGCTAAGCTTGTTCCACTCGTCCACCACCCTATTTGTGAACCAGTTTCTTCCTATCTCCCTCCTAAATGTAAACTTATCCAACTTGAATCCGTTGCTCCGAGTCCTATCCTGCTCGGATATTATAAGAACTTTATCTATATCCCCTTTATTGATTCCTTTCACCCACTTAAATACTTCTATCATATCTCCCCACCCTTCGTCTTTCTAGGGAATGCAAGTTAAGTTTCTTTAACCTATCCTGATATGGAAGGTTTCTAAGTCCCGGAATCATTTTTGTCATTCTTCGCTGCACTGACTCTAGTGAATTTATATCCATTCTATAATAGGGGCACCAGAACTGAACCGCATAATCGAGGTGTGGCCTAACTAGCGCAAGATATAGTTGCAATAAGACCTCTGCACTCTTGTTACTTACACTTCTAGATATAAAACCCAATACTCTGTTTGCCTTATTTCGAACATTAACGCACTGTTTTCTAGGCCGTAGGTCCGGCCTTACAAGTACCCCTAGGTCTCTTTCACAAGTCGACTTCTCTAGGTTGATGTTGTTAAGGCTGTATACATTATAAGTATTTGTTCTTCCAATATTAAGTATGCTGCACTTGCTGGTGTTGAATTTAATTTGCCATTTTTCAGACCACCCCTGCAGTTTATTTAGATCCTCCTGTAATGCATTTGCATCCTGCCCTGAATTAATTTGCTGCCCTATTTTGGTGTCATCCGCAAACTTGCTTATGTCACTGCTGATCCCAGTATCTAAATCGTTTATGTAGATTATGAACAAGAGTGGGCCTAGTACTGACCCCTGGGGAACCCCACTGGTTACACGGCCCCACTCACATTTAACACCATCTACGCTGACCCTCTGCGTTCTATCGGTGAGCCATAATTTATCCAATTTAAAAATCCTTCTCGATACCATGAGCCTTTAATTTTTCTCAGAAGCCTCTGATGCGGTACTCTGTCAAATGCTTTGCTAAAGTCTAAGTAAATAACATCGTAATTTTCGTCATTATCTACTACCTCGAAGACTTTCCTAAAAAACGTTAGCAGATTTGTTAGACAAGATTTTCCCTTTGTAAACCCATGTTGAGAGTCGTAGATTAATTTGCTTTTCTCTAGATGCTATCTGCTATAATTGATTCAAGAAATTTCCCCATTACTGACGTCAAACTGATCGGCCGGTAATTTGACGCTGATGCTCTGTCTCCCTTTTTGAATATGGGTACTACATTCGCCTGTTTCCACAACTCTGTTACAACTCCCGTGTCTAATGATTTTGTAAATAAGTTTACGAGGGGTCCGCTAATCTGTTCCCTACACTCTTTTAAGACTCGAGGAAAAATTTCATCCGGCCCTGGGGATTTTGTGTTCTTTAGTTTATTTATCTTCTTAAGAACATCCTCTTTTCTGATGGTGATATTCTTTAATTTCTCTTCTTCCTTTCCCTTAAATATCAGTTCCACCTCCGGAATTTCATCCCAAATTTCTTCTGTGAAAACTGATAAGAAGTAGCTGTTCAATGCTTTGCTCATGTCTTCACTGCCATTTATCAATTCTCCCCTCCCTGACTTTAAAGGCCCAACTTTGTCCTTGACCTTTGTCCTATATACCTGGAAAAATCCCTTGGGATTCGCCTTGGATTCTCTTGCTATTTTGATTTCATAGTCTCTCTTTGCTTTCCTTACATTTTTCTTAACATTCCTAGATAGTTCATTATACCTGTTTCTGAGCTGCTCCTCCCCTCCCTTTAATTTCTTATATATTCCTTTCTTCATTCCTATGTCATGTTTAAGTTTTCTGGCCATCCACCTTGGCTCATTCTTATTTGACCTAATTTTTCTGTGTGGTATATTTTGTTCTTGTGCTTTATGTAGTATACTAGTGAATATATTATAGTCATGATCAATTGTTGTGTCATCTATGACCTCACCCCTTCCTACTGGGAACTGACGTGACTGTTCCCAGGTGACCTCACCTAGGTACCTTCTTAACCCCTGATAATCCGCCAACTGAAAGTTTGGGACTCTGACCATATTGTCATTGTTTTTCGTTTCTCAATTTAGGGTGAACCTGATTTCTCTGTGATCACTGTTACCTAGTTCTTCCCCTACTGTGATATCTCTGATAATATTTTCTTTATTTGTTAATACTAGGTCTAATATATTGTCACCTCTAGTAGGTTCTGTAATTAGTTGTTTCAAAAAATTGTCCTTTACTGCGTCTAGGAAGTCTTCAGATTCATAGTCGCCTACAATGTTGTCCCAGTCAATATTTCTGAAGTTGAAATCCCCCATAATGCATAGGTTGTTATATTTTGCTGCCCTACTCATTTCCTGCCATATGGGCTGAGCTGCTTCTTTGCTAAGACTTGGGGGCCTGTAAATCACTCCCATAATTAGTTTTTCTCTTCCTTCCGTGATTTCTACCCACACAGACTCGGTTCCTATTTCACCCTTTATTGAATTATTAGTACAACATTTTAATGTATCCTTGACGAAGAGTGCAACCCCCTCCCCCCTTCCTACCTTCCCTGTCCTTGTGAAAAAGGTTGTACCCTTTTTTGTGGTACTCTGATAAAAAAATTTTGCTCGCCAGTTTCATCCAAGTTTCGGTGATTGCTATGACGTCTACATTCTCGGTACATACAACCGCTCTCAGCAAGTCTATTTTATTTCTAACGCTCCTACTGTTTGTATAGTATACATTTAAACCTACCCTTCCCTGGTCCTGTTTTACCCCTTGTCCTGAGTAACCAATTTACTTTCCAGGACCTGCTTGATTTTTTACTCCCACTTTCCCCGACCTCTCTCTACTGGCAGCCCTCCCTTCAGGTATTGACAATTTCAAAGCTCAGGGATGCAGACAACGTCTTTACCCCTCACAGGGGGGAGACAAAGTGCACTCCGTCGCGACTGTACAGGTAGTCGTTGCCACCGAATCGTTGCCAGTTATCAATAGTCTTTAACCATTGTTTTGCTACAATGTTTTTCCAGTCCCCGGCAATTTATAGCAATTGCCCTGGACAGCCATTCACGACCAACCCCTCTTCTGGGCAAGACACCACATATCGGGATCCCTCCCCTATCTCTAATCTTCCCCAGCGCCTCCTATACCTCTTGAAAAGTTCCTCCTCCCTAACCTTACCTATGTCGTTTTCCTCACACTAAGACACACTACTGGATTGGAGTACCCTCTGACAAAACCCTGTCTAACCTCTCGGCTACATGCCCTATCCCAGCCCCAGGAAAACACACCCTAGTCCCTACGTTTCCTATCTCTCACACACAAAAGAAAGCCCTATCCATAAACCTCACCTGGCTGTCTGCTTCCACGACCTTACCTGTGGGCAGGGTTTGTACAACTGCCCTTTCCTCTCCTTGATCCATACCGTCCTGCCTCTTGCTTCCTCGCCAGCTTCCTGCAGCACCTGGTGGGGTTACTACCTCCACACCCTGGTCAGCTTTCCAGAGCCTGACCTGGTCACTGGAACAACCACTCTCCACGCCTGCTCTCCTCCTTCCGCAGGTGTCCTGCTAGACAGGACACCTACCTGAAGGGATTCCGTCGAGGGCTTCATTTTCCCCCTTTAGTGTGTCAACCTCCTCCTCAACTGCACCCCAGCTGCCTTAACAAATTACAGCAAGGGGTTCGTCTTTTCCCCACACTCCCCTCCTCTTCCCCACGACCCACAACGATCCGGCGGCCATTTCTTGGTCTCTAACGGGAGCACGATCAGGCACGACCTTCCCCTACTCAAGCTGGGTCAGAGGTCAACTAACGCAGGTTAGTGTATATCAACACTAATTACCGTGGGTTAGTGTTATATCCCAGCACTAGTACGGTAGGTTATTATTTATCCAACAGTACCGTGGGTTTAGTGCACCAGTGTGAGCGGAGGCTGTATGAAGGACTGGTGGAACAGGTTAACCAGTGCTGTTGACGGTTGTCCGAGGTATTCCAGATTGGTATTGGCAAGTGAAGTCACACCGTAAACTAACTTGACCCAAGCCAACCCAGCCACCTAACTCAGACTTGATCAAATATAGAACACGCATGTTTATTTTGATTAGTGTGTGTGTGTGTGTGTGTGTGTGAACCGCGGGTTAGTGTTATATCCCAGCACTAGTACCGTGGGTTAGTGTTATATCCCAGCACTAGTACCGTGGGTTAGTGTTATATCCCAGCATAGTACCGTGGGTTAGTGCACCAGTGTGAGCGGAGAAGTAATGAAGGACTGGTGGAACGAGTTAACCAGTGCTGTTGACGGTTGTCCGGTATTCCAGTTGGTATTGGCAAGTAGAGGTCACACCGTAAACTAACCCGGCCA